GATGTAGAATACGTGCGTCTCTTGTCAGACATCTACAGTGCCCAATGAGGCAGCGTCGATGGCAGCGCAGCGTTTGACATAACGCGCGGAGTCAAACAAGGCGATGTTTTGCCATCGCTGCGTTTCAACGCTGGACTGGAGCACGCAATCCGGAGGTTCAAAATCCGAGCTCAGCAGAGCGGTTTCGACGTTGGAGACGTCAAGTTGCCCAGCAACATCCGGTATGCGGATGATATTTTACTGTATGCACGTTCTGCCGCAGAGGTGACTCGCATGTTGGGCGTGCGGCCTTTCATTCAATGCAGACAAGACGCGCATCTTCACTAACGACGTTTCTGTGTCCAATGTTGAAGAGCCTCTCATGCTGCAGGATACTACGTAGATGCCAGCTGTCTGTCATGACGTTCCAAGTGTTTCACAAGTATCTCGGTAAGAAGTTCGGAGAGGACTTGCGCAGCTTATCAGCTTGCAATGTAAATTATCGCATGGAGTGTGCATGGGGTAAGTTTCACTTGCGCAAGACAGTTTTGTTGAACAAAGTTATGTCGTTGCGCCTTCGCTTGATTTTTTCGACACGGTTGTTACGCCTACCGCCGTCAACGGTCTCTCGACGACAGCCACGACAGCAGTCCATCGGTCGCAAATTGCGCCGACGCGGGCAAAAATGCTGCGCAAGATGGTCGGTTTCAGTGAGCATCCCAGCGACAGTTGGGAGGAAGCGGGGCGACGTTGCGTGCGCGTCGGGTTCGGATTTTTTCCTGTCAGACTGCCTCGTTGTGGTGGATCGCTCCTTGTGGCGCCTTGTGGCGCGGCTTGCCACTGGTGACCCGCAAACGTGGCCAGCGCAAGTGTTACGGTGGCGCCCGCCCGGAGTTCGACGCCGAAGCCGGCCGCGATGTAGAGGGACAGATGCCGTCGATCGTTCGCAGGACAAGAGCAAGGTACGAGTTTATCACATGTTGTAGGTCGCCAAGAGCAATAGAGAGTTTTATATCGATATTATATCCACATTTGTTTCTCACATGCGCGCTTTCTTGCCGTGTTGTTTCACGCCCTCCGTCTCCGCTTGCGGAACGAGCGGCCCCCGGGCCTCTCGATCGGACTTGACTTGATTTTGGGGCCCTCACGGGGCCTCGGGGCCGTCAAGCAAAGATTCAGGATGAAAAACCGGTCCCGGGGAAGGGGTCAAGACCTTTGGGGGTCGACGTTGCGGAAAAAATCACGACGTCGGGGGTCTGGGAAGCAGACGTCTCCCCTCCCCCCCCCCCCCGGGGCGCTGTCCCGCCGACCCCGACTGCGCTTGGATGGCGCGCTCGCAGTTGGGCTGTCGTGGCTCTGAGGGTGTTTATTTGGCAGTGGGCAGCAACCCCAGACGGGATCCAAGCAGGTGGGATCGGATCGGCGGCGGAGTCCGAATCCCCCCAGGAAGAGGGCAAGCAGCACGGGAGCTGTGCGAAACGGTTTTCGTTGGCAGCTGTCGGCCCCCGGAGGAGCCGTTTTCTGGCCCCCCGGGGCGTCCGCCCAGAGCGGGCGTCTGGGGCGGGGGAAGCTGCACCAGAGGGAGAGGGATGTGGTTCAGTCGGGCCTGTCCCTCTACAGGGGGAATGTTGAAGAACTGTCAAGAATTAGCCTGGGGACTTCTTTGGCGATTTTGGAACACGTGTTTGATAATTCTCGCCGAAGGTCCCCCTGTAGGGGGACACGTCCGACTTAAGGATGCGGCCTCGTCGCCCGACCCTCGCCGATCAGCACGGTTCAGACACCTTTGGCGGGCGGCGGGGGGGATGGTTCGGAAGTCGCCGAGCACGTGGCGAGGTCCGAGCCCCACCCCCGCCTCCCCTCGGTGCAGGAGGATCGGCTGCTGGCTGGAGGTCGGGTTGGGATGTCGCCACCCATCGGGGGATCGCGCTGCATCGCCGACGCTCCGCCGATGCGGCTCGACGTGGAGCCCGATGTTCTCCACGCCGATGGCGCCAATGCATCGCCGACGTCGCCACTGCATCGGCGATGCATCAGCGATGTTGCGCGATCTTCCGGCTCCATGTATTCGGACCCCATTGACGAGGCCTCTAAGGACGGTGGCCCGAAGGTTAAACATAGCCAGGTCTCCAGTTGAGGGAAACTGGTCAGTGATTGGGACCCACGGTCCAACACATGGACCAGAGTATTTCAAACATGTTTGCCGTTGCTTATGTTTCTCCGGAGGGCGGCAATTCTAGTTAGTGGCTTGGCGCAGGGAAAAAAGGAGAAGCGTCCCCCCGGCTCACGTCACTATAAATCCCGTTCCTCTGAACCCAATCCCGCCAAGGCCCAGCATTACAGTCAAGACGTTGAAATAAGGAACAGTTTGGGTTCGGAAGGGGCTCGATGTTCCTTAGGTTCCTCCAGTGTTGCTCCTCTTGCCCTCCTGGGGCACGGAGGCGCTTACAGGGCCAAGAAGGGGCTTCGTTCCTCATTCAGCGCTCCCTCTTTCAGCGGCCCGACTGTGCAAATGGGGGCCAGGACGGCCCCCAAAGTGCGAGCGCGGGCCTGTCGGGTGCACGGGGGGTGCCCGTTTGCACACCGTGCTCGCTGCCTCCCCGTCGTCGAGCACCCCACGAGGCCGCGCTCTACGTGCTGTCGGGGGGGGCCTTCGACCCGCGGCGGGAGGCGACCACGGGCAGCGGGCACGCTCGGAGGAGGGGCAGATGCCGATGCCGCCGCCCTGCATCTCTCAGGAGGGAAAAAAGCACACAGACACAATGGATCGTCGACTCCCAGGAAGGTAGGTGAAGATCTGGGAAGTGGGGGGGAAGACAAACGCCCAGAAACTGTGGGGAAAAGATGGGGAACCTTTTCTATTCGCGCGTCTTTATATTTGTGTGCCCCAGGTTGAAGCTCACTGAGGGGCAGCGACCGCGATCTGTGTTTCTGGGGCGACGGGGGAGAGGGCAATGTTTTTGTAGGGCAAGAGCAAGCATGAGCAGCCCAATCGTCGGCAAGAGCAAACCTGAGATCAGAGCTTCTCGCGAAGGGCAGCTGGAAGGATTGCTGTGGACCGATCAAGCGCGCCCGCCGAGCGTACGGGGATTTGGCCCGGGAAACAATGCTGCCCCCCCCAGCGACCTTCAAGTCCCAGGGCCCCTTCCAGTCTCGGTCTCGCCTCGCTGGGCCTCCCGAGAGGATGGAAGGTCCAGTCCTGGCCCCAGCGCGCCCCGCAGGAGCTGACGCGCTCGGCATCTCCCCGCGCTCCCCCCGCGGCTCTCCGACGGGCTGGCCTCTGCAACGCCCGCGTCTCTGCCCCCGGGGGCCGGCTGCCTGGCCCTGGAGCGCAGAGCGTCAGGAGGGGAAAAAACACACAAACACACAGACACAATGAATCGTCGATTCCCGAGAAAATGTGAGGAAATATGGGGATTGGGCGGGAAGACAGAAACACCTAGAAAATATTGGAAAATATGGGGGATCCTTTGATCTGTGTGTATTTGTTTGTGTGTCCTTGGGCCCCTTCAGAGAAACGAGGCGGACAGGTGCCCCGGGGGAAGGCGTCGGGACTCCGGGCGGGCATCGTGGAGCGCAGCACCCCCCGCACCTGCGGCCGGGAGTGAGGGGGGCGGAGGCGTGGCCCACAGGAGTGGCCTCCTCGGCGTGGCCCCCTTGGACGTGGCCCCCCCAAGCTGTGGCCCTCCAGCGTGGCCCCCCCAACGCGGCCCCCCAAAGGCGGCCCCCTGACGTGGCCCCCCAGACGTGGCCCTCCCAAGCTGTGGCCCTCCCAAGCGTGGCCCCCCAAACGCGGCCCCCCCAAAAGGCGGCCCCCGGACGCGGCCCCCAGAACTGGCCCCCAGGCGAGGCCCCCGGACACAGACGCCCCAGATCCAGCCACGCGCGCGCCGGGAGAGTGCAAGACCCTACGGGCCCCCATCGCTCAGACAGAACATGGCAAACACGACGGACGGCCTTTGCCGTTCTTAGGCCTCTGGCGGGCCTTCTTTCAGAAGCAAATAGTGTGAGCCTGGTAGCCCCTCATCATTCCGTTTCTTGCGTTGATTCGCTTCGAGTAGCGATTGGAAGTCGATGAGCGCCGATTTTGTGTGTCGGCTAGTGTTATTAGCGTCGACTAGCGTCGATTCGCAAGGGCCGACAAGATGATATGGGAGGCTCCCATGAGTTGCCATCGAACCCTTCTGGGCCCCAGGCCGATCAAAAAACTGCTCAGAAGGACAGGGCCAGTCTCGTGGAAGGGGCTCAAACGTCCGAACATTCGGACTTGGCGTGGATTCGATGCGAATTCGGCACAGATTCGACACGAGACCAACATTTGGTTCGACACGGTCTCGACGCAGATAGGTCGCGACGGGACAGAGGTCCCCCAAAGATACAATATAACCCGTGGCGTGGGTCTGGGCATTCCGAACAACATCAGATTGCCGATCATCGAAGAAGAACGAAACGCCATAAATATGAATTGTTGGCGCTCTGCGTGGATCCAAGTTACCCGCGCGGAGCACCAAGAGTTTCTGTTTGTTATGTTTTCTCTTCTTGTAGATACGCGTAAGTTCACTTCGGGGTCCGCGCGTATGTCTTGGGTCGGCATTGGTCACCCCCCACCAGTGGCACCAAGAAGGCGCGTCCCCTCTGCAGCGCCCCCCGCGCGCCAAAGGAAGTGGCGTCCAGCGCCGGCCCAAGCGATCCTCGCGGACCTCCGAAAATGAAGGAGGAGGGGGAGGCGGAGGAGTAGGTAGATGGAGGAGGAGGAGGAGGAGGAGGAGGAGGAGGGGGAGGAGGAGGAGCAGCAGATGGGGAGGAGGAGGAGGAGGAGGAGGAGGAGGAGGAGGAGGAGGAGGTGGAGGAGGAGGGGGGGGGAGGAGGAGGGAGGAGGAGGAGGGGAGGAGGAGAGGAGGAGGAGGAGGAGGAGGAGGAGAGGAGGAGGAGGAGGAGGAGAGGGAGGAGGAGGAGGAGGAGAAGGAGGAGCAGGAGGGAAAATGAGGAGGAGGAGGAGGAGGATGCTCACTCATCTTTTTCTACATGCCCTTGCGGTCTGGACCCCAAGGCGCGCCTGCCAGTGGATGCGTGCGGCAACCTAATACTGTGGGTACGTTCTGCGTGGGCGCAGCGCCGCCCTGGCCCCACGGGTGTCGCGACCGATGAGTCCAGACCCTGAGGATGCGGACGCGAACATCAGCTTCCCGCCCAAGATGATGGGCCTCTTTTCCACCACCACTACCACGGGTAGGAGAGGGAGTAGGAGGAGGAGGAGGAGGAGGAAGAGGAGGAAGAGGAGGAGTTGGACCTTGTCATCCTCCCTAATCCGCCGTCCTACATCTGGCAGCGGTAGTTGAAAGTTTGCCCATCACACGAGGTGAGGGAACGAAGCCCCGTGGCGGCGCTCTTCTCGGTGACGTGCCCCACCAGCGAGAGGCGGGCGCACTTCCACCCCCTGCTGTACGAGACGTTCCGGACGCAGGAATCCGCATGGTTTTTAACCTATCCCGGGCCATGGTTTCTCAGCCTCACCCATGGGAGCGAACAGTGGCATAAACATAGAAACTCGGAGGTCTGCGCGGATTTCTCGGATCTGCGCTTGACACTTAAAAACTCGGAGCGCGCGCGCATTTCTCGGCGGAGGCGCCAGGGAGGGGTGTCCAGCGCAGATCCGAGAAATCCGCGCGGACCTCCAAGTATTTACGTTTATGTCATTGTTCGTTCTCCTATCACCATCCCAACCCCCCAGTTGGGGATATGCCCTTCGGAACCCGAAGGGAACAGCCTACATCCACATCTAGCGGGGTAAATCGGCCAGTGGGGCCAAGGCCATGCCACTGGGGACAGGGATCGGTCAAACGATGCTCAAGGACTACGAGCCGAAAGAGCTGGTGGTGGTGGACACGGGGCTGAGGCCTTCCGAGTTCTTCGTGAAGTGCGCGCGGGATGACCCACGCGTGGTGTACAGGCGCTCCGCAGGAGACATCCGTGCACCACCACCGCACCTGGCCAGGGCCACCCCCACGATGGCGTGCACCCTTCGACCTGTGCCTGCCACACCTTCCGCGCGGCAGGTGCCGCGCTGCCGGGACCACCGCCGCGGCCGCAGCGGCGGCCACCGCCGCGGCCGCAGCGTGTGACCGCGGCGGCCGCCGCTGCCGCAGGTGCGGCGGCACCTGCCGCGCGGAAGGTGCGATAGGTGATGGACGGTGGACGGTCAGGGATTTCTGTGTAGCGTTTCGCGGCCCTGATTCTGGCCCGCCTAGCATCGGCGCGACACAATGACCACGTCCCCGTCCCCAAGCGTCAACATCCCGAGTTCTTCCCAGCCTCCCGCCCCGCGGAGCGGAGCTGAACGCTGTCTGTCCGCAGCGCATAGCCAGCCGCCACGACACGCCAGGCAGCGCAACAGCTCCCGACCGCAGGTCTTTTGGCCCCGGCCTGGAGGGCGCACAGCCAACCCGCATAATAAGGATCGGCATCCTTCCCAAGAGTACTCTCTCTTGCATCCTAGCCTCCTCGGTCCACCCTTGGCCATTTTGGTTGGCCGCGACCCAAAGTTGACCGCGGTGCACGCGAGGCAACGCGCGAATGGCAAACGGTGGGCAATTCAATGTTGGGCTTGGGGGGAGGGGTTTGGGACATGCGTTATGCAAGATGTTCTCTATCTTCGCGTGATGTGGTCTTCGTGCCATCGGTGCGGACACTCGTTGTCGCGCACCCTTTTGATACGGGCCGACTGCATACAGCAAGCCAGGTCCCAGGGTGGCCCTGGCGAGGCGTGGCGGCGGAGCACCGATGCATGCCGCGCAGGTTCTTCCCCGTGGACGACGCCCGCGAGGGCTGCAGGCCCCGGGGCGGGAGGGCGGCGTGGACGCTGGGCCTCAAGCGCAACATCGCCTGCTGCCTCTCCCCCGAGGAAGGAACAGAGGCATGCATGTACAGCCGGGGCCCTGAAGAAGGAACCCTTTTCGTTGTGGAGGGGCTCGGTGTTCCTTGATTGTTTTACAGTTTGCCTTGGGTTTCCTTAGGTTTCCATGGGACATCGAAGTTTACCTTCTGGGATAAAGGGGCCTCGTTCCTTATTTAGGGTTGCTTAAGTCAACGCCCCGGCTGTAGGCAGTCAACCCGTATAGTAAGGATGGGCAATGTTCCCAAGGCTACCCTTGCATCCTCCTCTCCTCGATCCAGCCTTGGCCACGCTCGTTGTCCGCGCCCCGCCCGAGAAGCTGCGAAACGGCCTTCCGAGGCCCTTTCATCCTTCTCGTACGTCTTTCTGCTACGGGCCGACTGGAGGGCGGCGCGGGGATCTTGGATCAGCACTGGGCGCGCAATAATGGTGGCGCCGGATGCGCCCCCAGTCGAAGAAGGAAACTGGCACAAACATAAACTTTCGGCGCTCCGCTGGGCTCCCCTGGCAGCGCCTCCAGCGCCGCTCCTGGCGCGCTCGGCGCGCCAGGGAGGGCGGTCCAGCGCGGATCCGAGAAATCCGCGCGGACCGTCAACAGTTTATGTTTACACATGTTTTTTTCTCCTATCCAGGGCAGCGCCGATTCAAGATGTCCGCGTGGACATCGGGTGCTCTAGTTTTTCAGAGGACGCGTTGGAGGTCTGGACCATCCCTCCAGGGCCGCTTTTCTTTCCCTGGGTCGTGCGTTGGACGGCCCCGGGGCTGGTCGAGCGCCCCCGTGAGCCGGAAATCGCTAAAAACCGGACGCTCCAAGTTTTTCAAAGCTCCTCGGCCTGCACCTTCCCCACCTTCGCGCGGAGGGGGTGCCGCCACGCTGCGGCCGCCGCGGGCGCCGCGGCGGCGCTGCGACCTCCACCGTGACCGCCGCTGCGGCTGCGGCGGTGATCGAGGCAGCGCGGCACCTGCCGTACGAAAGGTGCGGCAGGTGCAGGTCGAGGGTCTCCTCAGATCTCCTGGCCGTTCCTCGAGATCACCCGGCGGCTCACAAAAAAAATGCGCGATCGTAAGACATGGCGACTGGAGCCCGGGCTGGATCAATGTGTGAGGGCCCTGGGCCCGATCGACGTGGCTACCACGAGGACGGGTCCGGATCGCTCTGAGGAGGCCGCGACGCCCGATACATCCCCCAGAGCATTTGGATCTCAGAGAATCTCATTTTCTCCTCACCCGAATGAATCTTCGTCCTGGCACGTCTTGCCCGAAGCCCGGCGAGAACGCCAGGCTCGGGAAGAACCAGGGCGCCGGGATCTCTCTGGGCCGTTTCTGTTCCTTCCTCGACTTCCCGCGGGGCTGCCGTCGCACACTTCGACGACGACGACCTCTACGCGCCGGGCTACCTGAGCTGGATGCCACCGAGAATAAAAGAGCCCTCTAAGTCAATCAGTGGCGAAGCGTCCTGGCTTGCCTATAGGCCCACCAAAGAATGTTCTAAGAGCCTTGAGTGGCCTGCACGTAATGTTATTAGAACATGTACTGCTTATATCCTGCATAACACGTCGGGCCTCATGTTCGAAAAACATTGATGTTGTTATCGGAGCGTTTGTGGGTTCTAAGAACATGTCGTGGTAGGCCTACAGGAGTGCCTGGACGGTCTGTCCCTGCTCAATTCACCCGGCTACCACGCCGGAGACGTAGCCGAACTCGGGCCCTCGTCTTTGCGTTAGGGATCACAAGTTTGGGTGGTTTGGAGAGGAGGAAGAGGAGGAGGATGAGGAGGAGGCCAGATACAGCCTGGGCGACGCACGAAGCCTGGGTTGTCGGCGCCGGCATAGGCGCGCAGGCTGCCCGCGTAAGGTCGCGCGTGAGCGCCCTGGTCTGCAGTGTGGCGTGCCGCGCTGGCGGCCCGCGCAAGCATCCACGTACAGTCGCTGCGTAATGTCACTCCAGACCCGCCTTTTGATCGTCGCCCATCTGATGAAAAGACCTCTTGTTCTTCTCAGACGGCCCGCGGGGCTTCTTAGCAGACCTCCTGGCCTTCTGCCAGGGTTTCTGTGCCTCAGAAAGCCTCGGGACGTCCGAGCCTTCTGCGAAGGCCCGCCCCTTCTTGCTTCTCCCCCCTCGGCCCGCCGCCGGGTTTGGCTGTCGGGTCCTAGTTCGGATGTCTGGCGGCCGTCCACGCGACCGTTCCATGGGCGCGACGCCAGATTTGGACGACGGACATGGCCACCTCTCAGTCTCTTGCATGGTCGCATTATGTCGATCCTGTTTCTTTTTATGCTGAGGTATGTGGGCCTCACATCTCTTTGCCAGATCTGTCAGGCAGGGTGGAGAGCATGCTGGAGGCCAGAAGAGTCCCGTGCCAGGTCGGTCGAAGGCACGGAGGGCCCGTGTTATTCAGATTTTTACCACTCCCTGGCACCAGAGACCCTGAGTTGTTGCGTCCCTTCCTTTCCGCCTCCACTCCCGCTCACGTCGGTTCGGTCGCTTTGTCAACCGAGGCGTGCAATGTCTCTGGGTGGAAGTCGTCTGGGAAGGGTTGCATGTCCAGGACCAGCTCGCATATTGCTCTTCCCCAGGAGCACCACTTGGTTTAAGAGAAGACTTGATGTAAGCCTCAGCGTGGTCGTTGAGAGCAGGGTGGAAAAGTTTATGAAAACCCGCGAAGGTTACATAATGTGGAGGGTTCTCAGGTGGAGTTGCGATTTGTGCCAGGTCTTGGTTAGGCCTACATCGGCTTCCCGACGTGCTCGCAGGTCAGTTGCACCGTGTGGTGTGTGCTGCTGTTCACATGCCAGGGCGCATCGAGATTTGTTGTTTTGGCTTACTTTGAGGATGGCAAGAAACCGGAACAACAAGCTAGCGCCTCTATTCTGGCAGCTCTGGGCTCTTCAGTCACTTCGTGTGGGTCGTCTTGGCTGGTCGGAGGAGATTTAAATTTCGACCCGCTACTGTTGGGCCAGGCTGGCTTCGCGACCTGAACTGAGGGACAAGTTCTATACCCAGGTGATGTGGGAACGCGTACCACCTCGGGGGGCCTTAAATTGGACGATCATTCGTGACTAGCAAGGGCTTAGCTGGGCTGTGCAGGAGATCGCCATGGTTACCGATTCGGATCAGACGCCGCATTCGCCCGTTCGGATAACGGTTTTCCCTCAGTTTGGTCGCCTCCAGTTTATGTTGTTCAAAAGGCCCTTAAGGATCCCTGTTGAAAGAATGGTGGGTCCCAAGGTGGCGCCTCCAATTTGCGACACTTGTTTGGCAATGTGGCGTTCAGATCGCCACGTCGGGAGATGGAGTGCGCACTCAGGAGTTCCTGGACCACAGATACAAACAACGGGCCAATTTGGCTGAAGTGGAGGTGGCTCGTGAGGCTAGTGTCGAGCTTCCCCACATTGTTTGGCGATCCGTCACTAATCAAAACATGCGCACCCCAAGGACCCGCACCTGTTCGCCACGCGTAGCTGTGGCAGAGGCTCCTAGTATTGCTCGGCCTGTTGGGAGATGCTGAGGAGCCAGCGTTGGCCGAGGCCGCTGCCGCTCTTTTGGACGTGCCCGCCCATGTCCTGGCGGCGCAGGGCACGAGGGACGCCGCCTTCTCGCGCGTGATGCAGTTCGTCGCCATTGCTGCAGAGCTACCAATGAGCGTTGCCTTGAAGAGGGGAACGGTCATCATAGACGAGGTGAGGGAGATGCTCGATGCCTGTATTTCGGAAGCGAGGGCCTCCAGTCAGGCCTCTTGGAAATCGCGGGTGCTGGATGGTTTTGACCGAGGGGCCCAACGGGCCCACCTTGTGTCCAGGGAGCCGATGCGCTTCGTGCCTTCTACGGCTTTGGCGGCGGACGGTAGGATTGCCAGCGGCCCTCGCAGTTTGTCGGAGCGAGAAGCTATTCGTCTCCGCCTCCCTCAGTGGAACGCTTTGTGCCCGCGCCCGTTTTGTCTCCCATCTCCCCCGGCGACATCCGCGGCCGTCTCGACCGACGGCTTTCATCTTAGGCGCTTGTCGTGGTTATCTGAAGACGACCTTCGATGTCTGGCGGTGCTGCTGCAGATTGTGGAATTGTCCTCCATGCTTCCGTTTCACGTCAGCGTGGTTATCATGCACCATATTCCCAAGTCGGTCTTTGGTCTGCGCCCTATGGGGCTCTTCGGGAGTCTCCAATGGGCCTGGGGGAAGATCCGCCGCCCCTGCGCCCTGGAGCGGGGGACTTGAAACCATCGACCTTGGTCCGCTGCGCGTCCTTTTTGCGGGGGCTGCGGGAACGGTCTGGAGGCCGACGGTCCGTAGTGAAGGTGGGGTCGCCCAAGGTCTCACCGCCTGTGCTCTGTTGTGGTTTTTCCTTGAAGTATTGCGAGTCGGTCGACTTGGACAGGATGTAAGATAGATGTGCGCAGCACGATTTCCCCTTGGCCTTCGCGAGGCTGAGCTGCACGGCTTGCATGCCGGCCCGTCGCATCGCGCTGTCAGGTTTTTTGTCGGTGGCCGCGCGCGCCCGGTTCGGGATCCTGGCGGGCTGTTCTTTCGCCGCAACTCTGCTGCGCGTCAACGCTCTGCGCAGTCTGGACCAGATTGAATGGCTGATTGGTGTTCCTTGCGCCCTCGACATCGACGCCAATGCGTTGCATGCCATCGGATCTGAGTGTGAAGCTGCTTCGTGTCTTGCCTTGGCCTCGCCCCAGCTCCACCGCGCCGGCGCGGAGGGCGGCGCTGCGCCGGTCGAGGGCAAAGGGGCTCCAACATGCCAACATGTTCCCATTGCAGGGCGGGGCGCGCTGCGCAGGCTGCCATTGGTTCGGCCCCATCTGGCCCGCTGGCGTCTTCTGCCCCTGATTAACTTGGACGTCGACGACGCGGCGGGGGGGCCGGTCAGAGCGCGCGGCCGAAGCGCCAGAGCCAGGGGTCGTTCTGCCAAGGCTCTTCGGCGTGCCCAGGGGGCGAAGAAGCTCGGTCGCGCGTCTGGGCGCAAGGCTCGAACAAATGGGTGTTCTGGGGTCTTTCCCGCTGCGACCTGCGGGTCGGACGCCCACGGCGCGTCGAACTCGGAGCTCTCGGTCCTGCGTCGTTCTTTCGGCGGCGCGATTAAGCCGTCGGCCGGTGATCGCCCCCTGTCTGTTTTACTCTGGCTCGAAGACGACCCTGCGCGGGCGTCCCAGGTAGCCCCCGTTTGTTCGCGGCGACAAGAGCCCTGGCATTTTCGCCCCTCCTCCCACCCCTCCGCCCCTAGCTTCAGGGAGCCGAGGGAGGCGTGGTCGGCGGTCTGGGGGAAGGAATCTTCGTCTTGGAGATTGCTTTCAGGGCCAGTTTCAGCAGCGAGGAAATCCCTCGAGCGGATCAGCTGGCAGATGCGCGACTTAGCCGCGTTAATCGACGGCCGCGGAGTGGAACTCCACATTCTCTCGTTGGCGCCCGCGCTGGTCCGTCGCTGCTGCGAGAAGTTGTTGCTCGCCAACTCTCGAATGGGAGATTGGAGCCAAGATGGGTTTTTTCTTCTCGCGGCTGCTCGGATGTTGTCTCGTCCAGCCTGGCCAGCTCGGAATGCACCCCCCGTGGAGAAGAGGGCCATCGGGGCCTGGGCGCTCGTGGCGATCTGGACCGGCACTCATGCGTTTTCGAAGGGCTACCAATGCCCAGGCATGTGCGAAAGATGCGATACAGAGAGAAGCGTCATGCTTCACCGCATTCGGAGGTGCCCTTCCTGCAACACAGAGCGCAGGGAGCTTCTTGGGGATGCATTGGTGGACGGATTGACGGACTCTGCGACCGCTAAGCGGGATCGGCTGAAGCTGCGTGCTCGCGGCATCATGGCCCATCCCGGCGACCGACGCCCTCTCCCTCTTCGAGAGGGAGTTCTGGCAGGGCGGCTGCAAGCGCGACCCTCCCACCTCCAATCCGTTCGCCATCCAAGGAAAAGTTCCCATTGATGGGTCCTTTTCCCGTCGCCCCATTCGCCCTTGTGGTTTTCAACGGCCAGGGCGAACGCTTGTGTATTATGGGGTGCCAGTTTGGGCGCCGCCCCCCAGGCTGGCGAGTTTTCGGGTTGCTGGGGGGCCGCCATGTTTGCCGGGCCCTAGCGAATGGCCACCGATTGTGCGGATGTGAACTTCATGCACGAATTGCCCAGAGACGTCCAGACCTGGCTCGAGCGCATGTACATTGGCGTGCTTGTTTTGCTCCTCAATCAGCCTGAGCGTGTTTCCATTTCCTCGGTGCCCAAAGCCAAGGCTCACCAGAGCTCTCATGACGAACACCTTTTCGAGGCTGAGCTTGCTCCCCGCTCGGGGAACCATCTGGCGGATGTCGGAGCCAAGGCCGCTCGGGATGCCCATCCCAAAGACGAGGCTTTGGTGGGCCAGGTAGATATTTGTGTCAAGTACTGCAAGGCTACCGTAAGTTAGCCGTCAAACTCTTGCCCCTGCGGTCTCCCCTCAGTGCGTCGAAGTATATATTGTGCATCCCGCAGCCTGCCGAACCTGCGGCCCAAAAGGATTGTCACGTTTGGTTTGGTTCGGGCTCGGCCTGGCGCTGCGATAGACGTCTCCAGATCCGCCCCCCCCCCCCCCCAGTGGAGATAAGCAGCCCGCTGGTGTGTGCAGGGGAGTGAGATCGTGCAGCGTTCAGAAGCTTTCCGCCCTGCATCATCGTTGCGTGAGTTTTGAGTGCAGCGATGGCGCTGAACTAATTATTTGTGCGAGATGCAGATGCTAAGCCTCGCACGAACGTTACAAGTGTGATTGAGTGCGACCTTGCTGGCCTTGATGGCCAGGATGGGGCTCTCAGCTTTTCCTCGGCACTCCCCGCTGACCAGATCCAGTCGTCGCCGTCCTTTCGTGCTTCGGCTGAGGTTTTTGTGAGCGAGCCAGCGCAGCCTCTCGCAGGATCAGGACGAACCTCGCCTTCAAAGACGATGAGGCCCCTTGGATGCCAGCTGTTGGGCAGCGGGGCGAGAGCGACGATTCTGATTCCTCGTCGGGCTTTCTTTTTGCTGGGGCCTGCTGTCCGCCACGCTCAGGCTTTTCGCCAGACCTTGCTCGTGCAGGGATAGAACTGTGTCGGGGGAGCGCAAGACCCGGGTTTGCCAGGACTCGGGTTCGCCATCGTTTTTTGACGACCGCGCCTCGGATTTTGACGAGGAGGAGTTTCGTGGGATGTCTGCAGCGGGAGGCCTCGTCAAAATGCAGGCTCGGCCTCGTCATTTTTTTGACGACCTCGTCGGGGATTTCCGAGTCCCCTGTACCCAGGTCTTACGTCCCCCTGACTGTGGTTGAATTTGCGGGTTGAAAAAACTGTCCAAAACGCTTTCAGCGAGGCGCGTCCGTTGGCCCGCATCGCGAGGCTGGAAGGCCGCGGAGAGCCGACGAAAACGCCAGGAGTTCACCGCTTCTCAAGGGCCCCTTCAGTGCTCACTCCTCAGGATGTGGTGCCGTTTGCGGGAAGCCTCCAGAAGCCGAGCAAGGTGAAAAACCTTTGCCTTGACTTTTTGAATGCGTTTGACAAGTTGGACCGCTGGATCTCCCCGGAAGGTTTCGGGCCTCTTAGCTTAGGTCCGCCCACCTGGTTTTGCAGTCAACCCGCATAGCATCGCTGGGCATCCTTCCCAAAGGTACCTTTGCATCCTCGCCGCTTCGGCCGGCCCATCCTTAGCCACTCTCGCTGTCTGCGCCCCGTTCGAAAAATTGCGAAATGGCCCTCCACGGCCCTTGCATCCCTCTCGTGCATCCTTCTGACACGGGTCGACTGTGCGGGGCCCCTGCGCTGCCCATTCGTCCGAATCCTGGGATTTGCGTCTGTTTGTGCGTGTCCCGCGGAGCCCCACGAAGCACGGGCCTCTCAACTCGGGCCCGCCCCCGAAGGGGTTGTGTGGCCTCGTGCCGCTGCCCCCTCCTATCAGGATGTGGTGCCGGCTGCGGGAGGCCGGCGGTGCGCCCGCCGGGGCCGCCGAAGACGCCGAGGCCCGGCGGCTGGCCCCTGCGGCGGCCAAGCTGGCCGAGTGGTACTTGCTGGACTCCCGGAGGGATGACGATGACCTTCAGTCGGGCACGTCCCTTCACACGAGGAATCTTCAAACATAGTCAAAAAAGAGTCTGGGAAGGATTTGCCGATGTTGTTTTGTCACGTTGGGGGTATGTGGTTGATTATGTTTGATTTGTCCTCCGAAATCCGCCTGGAGGAGGACATGCCCGACCGAACGGTAACGATGACGATGACGATGACGATGACGATGGCGATGGCGATGGTCGAGTGGAATTTGCTGGACTCCCGGAAGGGAAACAAGCACACATACACACACTGAATCGTCGATGCCCCAGAAGATGTGGGAAAACATGTGAAGCGGAGGGGGAAGACGCGCACCCAGAGAGCGGGGGGGCCCCGTGGAGCGGGATCCCCAGTTTGCTCGTTGTCTCTCGTCTTCGTTTCTTGTCCGCCCTCCCCTCTGTCCCTTCTCTCTCCCCGCTTCCCCCTGCTCCGTTCCTTCCGCCTCTTCGACATTTCCGACACAGGCGCGCTGCAAGTTTGAATCGTGGCAGGCTGTGTCGATAAACGGCTCACCATTGCACAAAGTTCAGGGTCAGTCGGCAGGCACTGTGCGAAGAACGATGACGATGACGATGACGGTGGAGAGTTTTTTGGTTTTACCCTTTGGGCCATAACGCGCGTTCTGCCCCCTGCCCTCCCCTCCTTCCCCCCCCCGCCCATGACATAACGCTCCCCCCCATCAGTGAGCCGTTCTGGCTCAGGTGTCCTGAGCTTGCTGCGGCAGACTTCAGAACGGCACCGCCGCAGCGAGCCATTGTGGCAGTGAGCTCCTGCAGGAGCAACCCCCTTTTGTTGAGACGGAGAACACGAGTGTTGTGCGGGCGAGGTCGAGAGGATCTCCCCGATGGCGCTCATGGCGGGGCCGGTACTACCAGGCCCCCGCAAGCCCACATGGGGGTGCCCAGCCTGCGGAGCATCGGCGAATTGGGCGAGCCGCATCAAGTGCAGATGCGGACAGGATGCACCGACGGTATTCATCCAACGGGCAAGGAAGGCTGCGAGAGAGGCGACGCAGCAGCCTGCGTCGGCGCCTCGACGTGCATCGCAGTCTCCAGCACCGTGGAGTGATCAGTATAAGCAGATGCAGAAGCAGATGGAGTTTCTTTCAGCTGAGCTCAAGAGAGTCAAGGCTGAGAAGGGTGTCGCGGCCAAGGGTGACGGAGGTGACACGATGGCCAAGGACCCCGACGGTAACGAGACGGACTATGCCAAGAGAGCTGCGCTTCAGAAGCGCATTGATGTACTCGACCAGTTCATCAAGCAGACGAAGGAGCTGGACGAGGACGATCCTGACTTGCCAGCGGCAAAGAAAAGATTGGATCAGCTTCGTGAAGAGCACAGAGCCATGCGCCCGCCAGTGTCGGCACACAAGGCTGCCTTCCAGAAGCTCGAACGCTGCAAGTCCCAGAAGACGAAGATGGAGTATGAGATATCGGAACTTTCGGCAAGGTTGTCATCACTTCAGAATGAGTTGGATGGCAAAAAAGCTGCACTTGAGGCTAAGTCGAAGGAAGTCGATCTACTCGAAGTGGAAGTTGAAATGTCGGCGGCTAAGCTGCGCAAGCAGCGTAGTCCCAGAGGAGCTGAAGCTGCAGGAGTCCCCGAGGATTTCATCAAGCAGCTGGGCTCCAACCTCATCCGCGCTGAGGACGCCGAGCTTGAGAAGTTGTTCAAGGACCTCAGCGTACACCCGAAGTTCGAGAAGTTCCAGCAGATCATTTTCGAGAGCGTTGCCCCCGCAGGGACGGTCGACGACCCCATGGAGGGCAGGACTCATGCTGGGCCTGTGGCTCCTCCTGCTGCTGAGCGGCCTGCAGGTGGAGGTGCTGGCGAGAAGCGACCACCACCCGAGATCGATTTGTCCGAGTCAGAAGCTGGAGAGGTGTGGACCAAGTTGCAGCAGGAGAGCGAAGAGACACGACCCGCTAAGCTTGCAGAGATGGTCAATGCACTCCAGAAGACGGAAGTTCGCAAAGTTGGTGATGATCAAGAGGACCTTTAGCAACCGTCCATTGGTGAGTGGATTATCTGTTGTTCAAGGTAAGACGCGTGCTGCTCCCGTACCACGTACTGGCCAGCAGGAGGTTCGGTTAGTTGAAACGTTCAATGCCAATCAAGGTCGAGAGACTTTGAAACGCAGATTGCAACGCACCTCAGCCATAATCGTGTTGGCACAGGAGCTGGGTTATTTTTCACACAATGCAGAGGAGATTTCCTCTTGGGCTGCCAGACGTGGCTGGAGCGTTATCATTGAACCAGGACATGAGACCAAGGGCCATCTTCCCTCTGCGGGAGTGGCTGTTTTCGCACGTGCTGAAGTTGGTCTTCGACGTCCTCAAATTGATGGTCAGACTGTCTCTGGAGTTCTGGTCGCCCACAGGGCGCTACATGTGGTGGTTGATGTGCCAGGTTGGCCAGAGATGCATATTTTCAATGTGTACCTTCATTGTTCTGAGGGTTTGACTGTGCGCAACTCAAGGATTCTTTCTTGCATTGGGCAGTCCCTCGCTGGGCTCACCTCGCCTAGCATTATCGGTGGTGACTGGAATCTCGACAAGGCGGCGCTTGAGTCTTCAGGGTTCGCCAGGGCTGCCCAAGTGCAAATTGTTGCTCCAGCATCGGTCACGTGCAGGACGGCATCATCAACGAGTACGATTGATTTCTTTTGTCTCAGTGTGGGGGCACATCGATTACTTAAGCAGATAAAGGTTGATGCTACGTGGGAAACCAAGCCACACCGCCCTGTGCAACTCGAACTGGCTGCTGATGGACATCGACTTCAGATATTGACGTATGCTGCAGTCCCAAAGCTTCCCACAACCGCGGTGTTTGGGCCCGCCCAGCAGGACTTTGATTGGTCATTGGAGCGTAGGTATGCTTCCACAGCGGTTGAGATGGCCAAGGAGTCACCTTCGGATGCTGCACGGGGTTTTCTTACCTTGGCTTGGGGAAGTTTCATCACCAGAGCTGCTGAGAGAATTGGTATCATGACGGGTGAGGAAGTCAAGTGTCCTGGCTCGTATGCGCGCTGCATCAAGCCGAAGTGGGTCGATGTGACTTACAATGGCAGTGATGCGGAAGGCCTTGCTGCACAAGCGGATGGATGGAAGTGGCTTTCGGATGCTTTGCAAGGTCTCAGTCTGTTGAAGCAGGCATCCAGCAATGGCGATGAGGAGAAAGTTGCGATGCTTGACGACGAGCTGATGCTGTTTCAGACGTCGCCGTATCCTGGGGTTCATTTATGTTCGAGATTGGATGCAGGTGTGACACAGGCGAGACGATTGGTAGCAGGTCGATTCTTTCCAGAGCAGATTGCTGAATTCCTTGAGGAGATTGACGAGGACGTTGAGTTTGCGAAGCAGGCAGCTGGAAGAGAATCTCAAAAACGTTGGCAAAATTGGTGCGATCAAGCTGCAGCAGGAGGCGCACGAGCTTTGCACAAGATTACGCAGTATCATCAGGTCAACGAGACGACGGTGGTCACCGCTGACGGGCTTCCGTCTGCACACCCACACGCTGTTGTCGAGACTACCGCAGATGAGTATCGATTGTTGTGGGATGCTAGCTCCGAGGCGCCCAAAGCATGGATACCAGACAGGAGTTCCTTTCCGAGAGCAACTGCTGCTGACATCAGGGCTGTCGCTCAGACTTTTTCCACATCAACTGCAGGGTCTCTGGACGGTCTACATCCTAGACACCTGCTGCTCTTGAGCGATGAGAGCCTCGGCATCCTTGGCATGTTGTTCGAAGCATTCGAATCTTTGGGAATGTTACCGAAGCAGATGTTATGGATTTGCATGCCTATGCTTCCCAAGCCGATGGGAGGACATCGACTTACTGTTTTGTACGGATCGGTATATCGTGTATGGCAACGGCTTCGTCGACCTGAGCTTGCACCACTCCAGCAGCTTCTACGCCGTGTGTATTGGGGGGCCTCGTCGGGCCGATCCGCTATCGATTCTGCGCGGCAGGTTGCTGCTCGTGTCGAAGCTTGCGTACATGATAAAAGGAAGAGATTGCAGATCATTGCTGATTATAGCAAGTATTATGAGACCATTGACTTAGTTACGGTGAGGGGGAAGTTTTCTAGATATGGTGCTCCCACGTGTTTGACGAAATTATTATTCAACACTTGGTCGGCACCACGAATCATTCGATTGATGAGGCACCATTGCCTCCAACCTGTCCACGCCCGGCGAGGATTCCCAGCGGGTGATGCATATGCGGATGTGGGGGTCAAGGTACATGCGTTGGAGGAGTGCGACAGATTCGTGGCTTTGCACAGTGAGCTGCATTTTTCGTCTTACATTGACGACAGCAGCTTAGGCATCGAAGCGGATACCACAGATGAGTTGATCGAGATGGCGGTGAGGGTTGGTCGCAGTTCCCAGACGACTGCGACGAGATTGGGGGCCAAGTTTAATAACAAGCTCTCAATCGTATGTTCCGAATCTGGAGTTGGTGACAAGGTTGCTGACAGATTGGGGTTTGAGTCTTCTTCCAACAAGCGAGCAGCTACGTATCTTGGAACTGATCAGGCTGGTGGGAGATCAAGACGAGCTGCAGCCACGCGGAAGAAGCAACAGAGTCGACGTCGACGTTTTCAACATCGGTTGAAGAAAATTGCTCGGTATCGAAAGGCTATCCCCACCAAGAAGTACGAGAGGACAGGCAAGATCTTCAGAACAGGGGCGCGACCAGCCCTGACTTTCGGCGTGGAGATCACAGGCCTGTCAGATTCTGAATGGAGTGCTTTACGTAGACAGTTCTTTCAGTTCGTGAAACCATGCCACGGTGGGATTTCAGCAAGTTCAAAGGCTGTACTCTTTGATGATCCGTCAGCGCGCCAAGCACTTGCCCCAGCTCTGCAGTGGTCAAGAATGATATGGCAAGCAGTCCTGGCGCCAGAGACGGCACTAGTTTCTTTGGAGCAGCTCCGAACGTGGTGGACGCAAGCCCTGCAGGACCGCCCGCTTGAGAATCTAGCGTGGGCGTCTTCGCGAGGGCCCCTTGAGCGAGCTGCTCTTTGTGTCCGCAGGGTTGGTTGGACAATCAAGCAGTGGGATGTCTGGCTGGACCATCGAGGAGTTGATGTGCCATTGCAACAATTTACACCAGGCATGCTGGAGAAGCGGCTGACTGAGTCATTACAGAGACAGTTGGAGCTCGACTTGGCTGCCAAGAGAGGGCTTCCAGCTGGCATGCGATCAAGTTATGATATTCTTCGGCCGTTCGTGAGAGAGAAGTATTCGAAGTACACCTCATACCAGAAGTTCCTGGTCAAATCATTCGCGCTCGGTGGAATATGGACACGTGAGCGGGCGAGATGCAAAGGATATGAGACGGACGGTCGTTGTGATTGCGGAGCTCCAGATACGGTACGTCACCGTTTGTTCACTTGCATGAGGGGTGATGTGGTGGCTGCCAGGAGTTCTTCTGAGGTACCTCCCGAATTCATCCAACGAGGCATTGATGAGCATAGTTCGGGGTTTTTCGAGCATGGAATGTTTGAATATCTCGACGAGGAGATTCCACAACTGGCACCTGGTCATGAAGCATTCGTCGTGAACATGGCTGGAGAGGTGCAGGATTTGAACCCTGAGGAGATGGTGGAGTCTGCATGTCCAGAGGCGCAGGCGATCGAGCTTGCTCCAGATGGTTCTTGCAGCAAACCCGCTCTTCGCGATTTACAGAGGGCTGGATGGGCAATCGCATTGTTGAGCCCGTCTGGCCCAGATCCACTTCTTGCAGTATATGGGGCTGTTCCTCCTGCCCTGCCCCAGACATCAGTGATTGCCGAGTATTTGGGATTGGCTTTTTGTGGCCAAGTCGCAGATCGGCCTGCAACCATGTATTTTGATTTCCTTGGCGCTGTCTTCGAGGCGCGGAAGTCTCCTCAGCGCCAGAGAGAGTCACGTTCCATTTATGCATGTGTTCAGGTCTTTGGTCAGAGCCTTCCTGGTCGTGAATATCTGACAGCAGCAGAACATGTTAAAGCACATCGCACGAGCGAACAGTATGCTCTGTTAAACGTTGAACAAAGGAGAATAACAGATGCGAGCATTCCTGCTGACATATTCGCGAAGATGGCTGTTTCTCTTCACCCCGCTCCTCGTCACGAATTCTGTAAGCAGATTGAGCTGCACGAGGAGGCGACGAGGAACCTTGTGCGTCTAATCTCCGCCACCTTGCCCTGCTACGAGAAGGAGGAGAGGTGGAGGAGGGCACCGATATTCAAGAGGAGTAGAAACGTGAGGACTGAGGGACATCATGATTGGTGTAGGACGGAGTTAGGAGTGCAGTGCAAGTATTGCCTCTTTGTTCTGCATGACAATGCTGTTGATTGGCCCTTAGTGGGCTGCAGGGGAACCCCAGCATTCCTCAGTGCGTTTTTCGCTCGGCCGAACGGCCACTGTCTCGTTGCTGTGCACCAGTCTGGCGAACGGTGCGAGTCGGTCTCGGATAGTGTGGATCGACCTGTTGTTGTTTGTACGAGATGTGGAGCGTGGGCCCAACAGAGGCGCCGCAGCAAGTTGAGGTCACCTTGCATCAGGCCGACGCCCAAGGGTCTTGAGATTCTTCGGAACCTGAGGCGCGGCGTCGGGCCTCATCGCAAGCTCCAGCGTTCCATCGATTCTGTGATACCTGCCGTCCGAGTGGCGCCCGCGCGCCGCGCCCCTCAGAGGGAGACGACCAGTGTCTCCGCGCGGCCCAACCCAGCCTCTTCGTATCAGTACGAATCACGGTTGGCGGCACTTCAGGAGAGAGTGCGCCAGCGGGAGCTGGCTCGGGCACAGGAGGGCTCAGCAGGTGGCGCAAGCGGTAATGGGCTAGGCTGAGCCCGAGCGCCGCCCTGCTGGGCCGAGTCGTTAGTCACGTGACTGGTCCGCCTCGGCGTGCTTCTTCTTCTTCTTCTTCTTCCCCCCCATCAGTGCGTCCCCGGCACTGCCGCAGTGCGTCGGGCACCACAGTCTGAGGGGGGGGGGCGCTACGTTATGCCCCCTCCCCGCCCCCCCCCTCCCCCCCCATGGCGCCCGTTGCGGCCGCGAGAAAAGGCGCTCATGACGTCATCCTCCTCCTCGTCATCGTTATCGGGTGTGTTCGCTCCTGCCTGCCAAACAACCCCAATGAAACCCGAAGACCCCGATCTGCCCTCCGTTTCCAGTGGGGGGGGGGGGGGGCGCGTCGGGAAGCATTGAGAAAACGTGCGTGGAACCCGTAATTACCCCCCAAAACCCGAAGTGTGGGTCTTCGGGTTGGGTTGGGGTGGTCTGGCACGAGTTCTTCTCGGCATCGCTCAGGCACGAAAACAGCCACGCACACACACACACACACCCACCCACCCACACCCCACCCACCCACCACCCACACACACACACACACACACACGCACACGCACACGCACACGCACACGCACACGCACACGCACACACACACACACGTTGGGTTGGGGCGGATTGGCAGGAGTTCTCCTCGGCATCGCTCAGGAACGAAAAGAGACACACACACACACGTTGGGTTGGGGTGGTCTGGCAGGAGTTCTTCTCGGTATCTCTCAGGCACGAAACAAGCCATACGCACACACGTTGGGTTGGGGTGGTCTGGCAGGAGTTCTCCTCGGCATCGCTCAGGCACGAAAACAGCCACACACTCACACACGTTGGGTTGGGGCGGATTGGCAGGAGTTTTCCTCGGCATCGCTCAGGAACGAAAAGAGAGAGACACACACGCACACACGCGCACACACACACACGTTGGGTTGGGGTGGTCTGGCAGGAGTTCTGCTCGGCATCGCTCAGGCACGAAAACAGCCACACACACAAGTTGGGTTGGGGCGGATTGGCAGGAGTTCTCCTCGGCATCGCTCAGGAACGAACATAGAGACACACACACACACACGTTGGGTTGGGGTGGTCTGGCAGGAGTTCTTCTCGGCATCTCTCAGGCACGAAACGAGCCATACGCACACACGTTGGGTTGGGGTGGTCTGGCAGGAGTTCTCCTCGGCATCGCTCAGGCACGAAAACAGACACACACTCACACGTTTGGTTGGGGTGGATTGGCAGGAGTTCTCCTCGGCATCGCTCAGGAACGAAAAGAGAGACACACACGCGCACACACACACACACGTTGGGTTGGGGTGGTCTGGCAGGAGTTCTTCTCGGCATCGCTCAGGAACAAAAAGAGAAACACACACACACACGCACACACACACACACGTTGGGTTGAGGTGGTCTGACAGGAGGTCTTCTCGGCATCGCTCAGGAACGAAAAGAGCCACATACACACAAACACGTTGGGTTGGGGTGGTCTGGCAGGAGTTCTTCTCGGCATCGCTCACGAACGAAAAGAGAGAGAGAGAGAGAGACACACACACACACACGTTGGGTTGGGGTGGTCTGGCAGGAGGTCTTCTCGGCATCGCTCAGGAACGAAAAGAGCCACACACACACACACGTTGGGTTGGGGTGGTCTGGCAGGAGTTCTTCTCGGCATCGCTCAGGCACGAAAACAGCCACACACACACACACGCGTTGGTTTGGGGTGGTCTGGCAGGAATTCTCCTCGGCATCGCTTAGGAACGAAGAGAGAGAGACACGCACACACACACACACACACACACACACACACACACACACACACACACACACACACACACACACACACGCACACGCACACGCACACGCACACGCACACGCACACGCACACGCACACGCACACGCACACGCACACGCACACACACACACACACGCACACGCACACGCACACGTACACGCACACGCACACGCACACGCACACGCACTTGCACACGCACACGCACACGCACACGCACACGCACACGCACACGCACACGCACACGTACACACACACACGAACACGCACACGCACACGCACTTGCCCACGCACACACACACACACACGAAAAGAGAGAGACACACACACACACACACACACACACGCACGTACACGCACACGCACACGCACTTGCACACGCACACGCACACGCACACGCACACGCACACGCACACGTACACGTACACGTACACACACACACACGTGTACATGATTCCACGTTGGTTTAGAGAGCACGCATTGCGCGAGCGTTCGTAGCACGCGGCCGGTCGGAGCAGCACGCGCGGGACCTCGGAGGGGGGAGACCACCTCGGCGGCGCTCGCGGCGGCTGCACGCTTCGGGGTGCCCTCGGAGGAAGACGGGCTACCCACACCTCTGCCCCTGCCTCGCCTTCGCCTGTTCGGGCCTCCCGGGAGGCCATCGTGGCCACCGCTGGCTTCGCCTCGAGGTCCTGGTCGGAGCGCACCCCGGGAAGAGGTCTGCGGAGCAGTGGCGTCGGTGCTTCTTGGTATCTCCAGGGGGGCGTTCTCCAGGGGGGAGCTCTTCTCGTTATGCCCCATCTTAGGAGGACCTCGCCTGTCCCAAAATTTGGTGTCTTAGCTTGGGCCCGACGCGGGCTCGATGTGCAGACTTGACGCGGATCCGGCATTGATTGGACGCGGATTCGACATGGACTCGACACGCGCAGGTCCGACGTGGACCCGTATAGGCCCGAGTTCGGCGCGAATAGGGCCGCGACGAGACAGATGAGGTCACTGGAGGACGCAACACAACAGAGGGGGGAGGTACTCTCGGCATCGTTCGTGTCAGCTACGCGCAAGAGTGGCCTCAGGAGGACCCGGCTTACTCCTGCCGCTGCCCCTGCGCCTGCTCTGTCTTTTCGGGGGGGGGCGGGCCGCCCCGGGGCGGCCGTCAGGGCCACCGCTGGACTTCGCCGCGAGTGCGTGGTGGGAGCGCGCCCCCTCGCGCTCGAGTTGGCCCCCCCCGGGCCCCCTTCCTGCTCGGATCTGCGCTGGGGGCCCCCGCTTTGGGGGGCGCGGCGCACGGCGCGGCGCGCCCGCCCCCGAGGCCGCCCCGCACGGCCGACCCCGGGGATTCCGCGCGGGGCTCCGGAAAAAAATCGGAGGGGGAGAGTCACACAGGCACACAGACACACACACACACATGCACACGCACACAGACACACACACGCACACAGACACACACACACACACACGCACACAGAAACAGACCCACACACACACACACACACACACGCACGCACACTGACACTGACACTCACACACCCACACCCACACAGACACACAGACACACACACACAGACAGACACGCACACACACAGACATGCACACGCACACACATACACAAGCAGACACACACACACACAAACACACACGCACGCACGCACGCACGCACGCACGCACGCACGCACGCACGCACGCACGCACGCACGCACGCACGCACGCACACACACACACACCACACGCACGCACGCACGCACGCACGCACACACACACACACGCACACACACACACACACACACACACACACACACTGACACTCACCCACACACCCACACACCCACACACACACAGACACACAGACACACAGACACACACACACACACACGGACATGCACACGCACACACACACATACATGCACACGCACACACATACACAAGCAGACACACACACACACACACGCACGCGCGCGCACGCACACACACACACCCACACACACACACAAACACGCACACACACACACGCACACAGAGACACCACGAATAGTCGATCCCCAGGAGAGTCTTGGAAAATTCGGCATGTTCGCGTCGTGTCGACCAGCGGCGACCCTGCCGCCGGCGTTCCACGTTGAACGCCGCCGGCGACCCAGAATCGGTCGTTGTTGAACTGTTCTGACCTTTCGGAAGCGGCCGATCGTTCAAGGTTGAAGGATCCGCGGGGTGTCAGGAACCAACACCGGGGTCGACACGACACGAACGTTCAGTATGGAAAGACGGAAGCTCAGAAAAGACGGGCAGATAGGGGGAGTCCTGGGGGTCGTGTCTATTCATTCGTGTGTCCCTGGGCCCCTGCACAGCAGCTCACGTGCATGCATGCATCGGACTCGATCTGTCGCCGTGCCGTTGGTTTCGACGCGCGGCCTTCCGTCTCGGGGGGATGCGCCTCGGCCACCAGGGCAGGCTCCGCCCTGGACGCAGGGTTCGCTGTGGGGCTTGCCGCGGTGCCGACTCCGTCCACGTTTTGGGAGCCCACGTGGAAAAGTCGTGCCGTCGGTTGTCTGATTTATGCATTGCGTTCTTCTTCTTCTTCTACCTCTTCTTCTTCTTCTTCTTCTTCATTTTCTTCTACCCTCGGAACACTAAAAGTCAATTCGCCTGGCGAAAGACCCAACCATATGCAGCTGCGGCTTGGAAAGCTGGAAAGCGTGGCAGGGTAGTGTCAGGGCAGAGGCACGGGGAGGAAGGGGAGGAGGACCAGGAGGACTGGGAGGACAGGACGCGGGGCGCCTCCGATTTAAGATATTGGCCCAAGACCACAGGATGGTTGGGAATGACGGAGGTTTGCTTCTCTGCTCTGCCTTTGGGGGTTCACGTTGACACCCCGCTTCGGGTACGAGGAACCGTCAAGATGGTCCTCTGGAATGGGTCGAGATCTTCGGGGGCCCACGTCGTGCACGGGTCATGCCGTCCGGGGTCTGGGTTCGCAGCTCTGTCGGACTCGGCTGGGTCGGTTCTGCGGCGCCGCGTTAGTCGGGGTGTCGGATTGGGCCGGTTCTCGGTCTCGATTTCGCTCTCGGTTCGGTCAGTGTTCGGTTTTCTTTTGTCGCGGACCAGGGTGCAAGACATTGCATCCGGTCGGTGCGCGCCGTGTCGACCAGCGGCGACCCCGCCGCCAGCGTTCCAGGTCGACCGCCGCTGGCGACCCAGTGGGAAAAAAAACACAGTGTTTTTTTTTGTGTGTGTGTGTTTTTTCCCCACAGGCTGTTGTGTTGTTTTGTTGTGCTTTTTTTGTCCCGCAGTGTTTTTTTTTCCCACGGTCGGTGTGCAACGATCTGACGCCTCCCGAGCGGTCGATCGTGCAAGAGTGAGCGATCCCCGCGGCGTCGGGAGCCGACGCCGAGGGCGGCACGACGGGACCGTGCCGTGATTGTGCAGACGTGTCTAACGATCTGACGCCTCCCGAGCGGTCGATGGTGCAAGAGTGAGCGATCCCCGCGGTGTCGTGGGCCAGCGCCGAGGGCGGCACGACGTGGCCTGGCCGTGCTTGTGCAGAGACTTGGGTCGGAGCCCCGCGCACGCGTCTTCTTGGGTCGGCGCCGGAGGCCCCCCCCCGAGGCGGCGCCGTCCCCTGGCGCGCTCCGCGCGCCCCGGGGAGCGGGGGTCTCGCCGCCGACCGAAGAGGTGTGCTGTTCCAAACTGCTGGAGCCTTGATCACCAGAAAGATACCAGAGAAAAAGCCCCAAAAAGGTTTGTGTTGGGGCTATGGGGTTATAGGACTACAGGGCTATAGGGCTATGGGGCTATAGGGCTATATGGCTATGGGGGCATAGTGCTATTCCAGCCTGCTCGAGCCTTGCTCACCAGAAATAATATCGAGCACCGCGAAAGCGCCGAGACCGGAGGGGGTTCTCACGTGCCTGGCCCTGGGGGGCGAGACTCGATCGACACCGGTTCGATACCTCCCCGGGTGCTCGAGATTCTTTCTGGGATGTGGTCCTCGAGTGCGATGGGAGCAGCATGGCCCAAGACACGTGCGCGGCCCTCCCGGAAAACTACAGGCAAGACGCTGAGATACACACGCGTCGTTGAAAGTATGTATTTTGGGACTCTCAGATGCCAGTCTGCTTTAGGCGCCTTTCCACTTCCAAGGATCGAGTGGTTTTCCTTCCTCCTTCGTCTTCAGAGGCGGGTGGAGATCCAATCTACTTCCAGGAGGAGGAGGAGGAGAAGGAGGGGGAGGAGGAGAATGATGATGATGATGAGGAGGAGGAGAAGAATGAGGTGGAGGAGGAGGAGGAACGCGTTCCTACTTCATGGTTCTACCCATTTTTTCCGGCCAGCGAGTGAGGTCCGCTGTGTGTTCGGAAGAAGCCTGTTGTTTTCCAGGTCAGTATGATGACTGTTCCGCCTGGTCTCCTTGGCATCGTTCGGACGTGTGCATTGTCCCTTCGGCGAGGACCATCGAGGATCATCCTTCATATTGGCGAAAAAACCACGCACGAAACCGAAAAAAACACAGGGAATGGACGTCCGAGCGATGGCCAGTCTCGGGGGTGGACAGACCTCCTGCCCCGACATGTCGATGATTGGCCGTTTTCGGTTCGCGAGAGGGCGTCGCGGCCGTCATTTTTGCGGCTCCAGGTCCGTCGGTTTCGGTCCCAGGCCCTGTTCCTCTGGTCTCGGGGGTGGACAGACCTCCTGCCCCGACACGTCGATAATTGGCCGTTTTCGGTTCGCGAGAGGGCGTCGCGGCCGTCATTTTGCGGCTCCGGGTCCGTCGGTTTCGGTCCCGGGCCGTTGTCGCTAAAGGGAGGTTTACTACAGGGAGGTTTGTCCACCGCCGATAGTCTCCTTCGTTCACCAAGGCCCTTCTGGTGCCGACGCGAGCTTCTCTCCTTGGTCACTTGGCGTGCCTTATTGCGGCAGCGTGGCTGCACGTTTTTCCAGACCTGCCTCTTTCCAGGACGTCCCCGACCTGTCTGAACCAGGGCTGGACCCAAACGGTGTTTCTGGTGATTTCGTGGGCCGTTGTCGGTTCGACTCCGTTGTGCGGTAAAGGCGGATTCGAGACAAAGGGCGAGGGAAAACGAAGACAAAGCGAAAACGAAAAACACCGTTTATCAAGCGGTAGCGAAGCGTCCTGGCTTGCCTATCGCCCCATCAAATAATGTTCTAAGAACCTTTTGTGGTTTCCACGAAATGTTATTGGAACATTATGGTTGATATGTTTTTGTTTTAACACATCGGGCTCATGGGCTCTAGGAACATTTCGTGGTAGGACTATAGGAATGCCGGGACGGTCGGTCCCTGCTCAAGCTTAGGTTCAGCCCTGGTCTGAGCCTCCCGAGGGGGCCCTCGTCGTCACGCCCTGGTCTCCGCCCCGAGGGGCTCTCGGCGGGACTCTCGCCATAGGCTGGGCCCCGGGGTCGACCTCCGACCCCCGGGCCCTAGCCCCCTTCGGGACCTGAGCGCATCACGACCACGATATATCTCCTCCTCCTCCTCCTCCGCCTCCTCCTCCTCCTCCTCCTCCTCCTCGTCCTCCTCCTCCTCCTGTTTATCCTCCTCCTCCTCCTCCCCGTCCTCTTTCTTGTCCTCCTCCTCCTCCTCCTCCTCCTCCTCCTCCTCCTCCTCTGGGTAGGTCGTCTTCTCCTCCTCCGCCTCCTCCTCCTCCTCCTTCCTAAGGGTCACATTCCTACAGGTGCCCTTGTATCCTTGCCGCTTCGACCCATCCTTGGCCACTTCCGACGGCGGCCGGCCCCGCCCGAACAGCTTCGGCTCGGCCTTCCGAGGCCCCTACGTCCTCACTGTCAGCTTTGACTATCCGGTTTTCTGCATCTGGGGACGCATGTGGCGCATACCGTTTCCGCGCTCCGAGCACAGCGCAGGTGTCGCCCCGGTCGCCACACTCCGTGCAGTCGTTCTGCACAGTCATCAGCGACAAGAGCGTGACCTGCACTCGGGCAAAGAGCTCTTCCTTTCCCTGTGTACCAGAATGGTGTCGGTCTTCGGCCAGAGGGCGCCACGTGATGCCTTCCCAAAAGAATCGTGTTCTGCTCAGGTTTCCGGCCAGTGTGCGCATGAGGATCATATGAAACGTCAGGTCTGACTTTTCTGTATGCGGGCAAGACTTGTGACCAGATCCGCTGTGGCTTAGAGTGTCGGGCTCCCTTCCCCAGGAGCCCGAGGCGCACTGGACATGGATAAGGATCTGGCCCCTAGAGGCTCGATTTCCATTCACCTCCAGTGCGCCGCGGCCTTGTGGCGCCCCGCCCCAGAGAGTCCAAGGCGCACTGGATATGGATAGGAATCCGGCCCGCCCCTTTTGCTCCTGGGGGGAAGGACATCTCCGACCTGTCCTTCCGCTTCCTCGACGCCGCCGCCGCCCCCGCGGGCACCGCGGGCGGGCGGCGCGACTGGCTCTACGGCTGGGGCTTCTCCTACGCCTTCACCCGCTCCGCGTGGGAGCTCGCGCCCTTCCCGGACGTCGAGTTCGCCGAGGACCGGAGGGCCGGGCGGGGCCCGGGAGGGCGAGGCGTCGCAGCTCGGCGGCGAGCGAGGAGGGGGAGCGAGGAGCGGCGGGCCTTCTCGGGAGGCTCGGGGGTCCCCCGGCCTGCCGAGAGAAGGGTTTCCCGGCCTCCCCTGGGAGGCAGACGAAGCCTCAGAGAGGGCGCGATGGGCTTCTGAGAAGTCCCGCCGCCTTGTGAGAATCGGGGGTGGACAGACCTCCTGCCCCGACGCGTCGATTGAGGAATTGGCCGTTTTCGGTTCGCGAGAGGGCGTCGCGGCCGTCATTTTCACTAAAGGGAGGCTCGTCCGCCGCCGAGAGAAGGCCTGCTCTTTCTCGCGTCCCCCCTTCGCTCGCCGCCGAGGTACCGCTAGCCTTGCCTTGTTGTCGCCTCCCGGCCAGGCCGATCCCATGCCCTGGGGCGGTGTGTGTGTGTGTGTGTGTGTTTGTGTGTATGCCTGTTTGAGTGTGTGTCCGTGTGCGTCTGTGTTTTTTTTCTGTGTGTGTGTGTCTTTGTGTGTCTGTTTTTTTGTGTTTGTGTGTGTGTGTGTGTCTGTTTGTGTGTGTCTGCTTGTGTGTGTGTGTGTGTCTGTTGGTGTGTATGTGTGTGTGTGTGTCTGTGTGTCTGTGTGTCTGTGTGTCTGTGTGTCTGTGTGTCTGGGTGTCTGTGTGTGCTCGGGAGCCTTGTGAACGGGGGTCAATGCAAGCCGGGGTCAGCCAGAGCGCCAGATCTTGCAGCAGGGTCTTGCAGGGCCAACGCTGCACTGTCCCGGGCCTGCGCGCAGGATCCTGCAGGATCCTGCAGGGCCTGTCTGACCCGGGCCAGTGCGTCCCCCGTGCGTTTGTGCGTTTGTGTGCGTGTGCCTTCCCGCCAACGCCACCCCGGGGCGGCCGCCCTGCCTCTGGGCCCGTGGTGAGCCTGGCCATGGATCGGTGTGGGTGTACAGATGGCGCATTCCTATACCTGGAGGACGAGGGGGAGGAGGAGGAGGAGAGGAGGAGGACGAGGACGAGGATGAGGAGGAGGAGAAGGAGGAGGAGGAGGAGGAGATCCGTAGCCATTTTGGCTCAAGCGATTTTGGCTCAAGCCATTTTGGCTCAAGGCATTTTGGCTCAAGTCATTTTGACTCAAGCCATCTGGCGCAGAGGCCTTGCCCTTGCTCTGCCTTTCCGACTTCGGGTTTCCGGGGTCACGGATCCCAGTCGCTTCCAGATCCCGACGGATCCAGCAGTCATGGGCGGCAGCTCCTGGTGGGCCTACCAGCAGCAGCAGCAGAAGCGCAGTGCATATCGTGGCGGACCTTGGCTGTGAAGCGCAAATTCCGGCTTAATAAGTTTTTGGGGCGCATATTTTCACCAGAATTTTTTCGCAAATTTGGATTTCTTATTTTTTCTTTGTTTTTGGGCGATTGTTTTCTTTCTCCGCTCGTCGATTCCTCGGTGGCATCACACGCTGCGCGTGTGCCCCTGGATCGACGCGTTGCATTGGGCGAGCGACAATGTCGCGCAGGTGGCATCGCGGCGCGCTTTAGTTCTAAATGCCAGCTCGCGCCTCGTGCGTGAATCGCGCGAGCAGTGCTTCGTTGGTGGCGGCCCTCAGCGCGACGACAGACGCGGCTTTGGGCCGCGCCGGGCCGCGGTGCTCCTGCTCCCCCCCTTTCCATGTCCCCCCGCGGAGGTCAGCGATGACGCCTCGCCTTGACTCCGTGCTGCCGGGCGCGCGGCAGTCGTGGATTGCGCGCGCCCCCCAAGTGAAACTATAATTGGTGGCGGGTCGGGGCGGCGAGTGGTAGCGCGCAACCTCGCGCGCGTGATGGCCCCGGAGAGGGTTGACGAAGCTCGTTCGTGCCTGCTGTTTCGTTTAATGGGTTGTTGCTTTTCCCCCGCCAACGCGCGGCGAACCCGCCGAGCCGCCGTGCCCCGCGGTTCCCTGCGGGCGGCCAACTGCGAAGGGTTGCATCGGATCAAAACATCCGTGAGTGACAGTCTCCCTGCGAATTTCCCCGCTAATTTCCCGGCTCATATTCCCAACGAATTTCCCCGTTAGTTCCCCCGCTAATTTCGTGGCTACGTGTCGTCTTCGCTAATTTCACTAATTAATTATTCGGCGAATTTCCGAGCTAATTTCCCAGTGGGCTACGGCGCCACAGGTGCCGCGCATTGGTCGTGGCGGACCAACGGTATGAAGTCCGAAATCATTTTTTATTGGTGTTTCGGAGTCATTTCTTGCCGCCCAAGAACGGTTGACAGCGTTTGTTTTCTATTTGTGTTTGATGTGTTTCTTCTTGTGTGTGTGCCTAGATGTTGGGCCGAGGGCAGGCGCTCCGTGCGTTCTTGGGGGCCGACGCATCGAATGCACGTGGCGGTTCTGCATCGAAACAAGCGTCGCGACACGTCGCGCCCGAACCTCGCCCAAACCTGCTCGAACAGTTCAACGAAAGGACAGGCGCGCAAGTTATGCTCGCGCAGATCCATTTGACCAGGCGGGCGAGGGGCGGCGCCGACGGCGTCGTCGGGGCGGCGCAAAGTAGGGCGCTGCTGTTCGTGGTGGCGATGGTGACCAAGGCCGATGGAGTTGCAATGCGAGTGGCTACGGCTTCCACTGAAGCATGACGTTGTCGACGGACGATTGCTATGTTTGTTGCGGGCACGATCTCGATGTTTAGATGTTTGCCCGGCGAACCTTAGCAGCCATCTGGGCTGCCGTGAGCTTCATTCATGGCCAGCTCCTTGCCGCCCTGGCGCAACGCGCAATGGGGCTGCGAGGGGCCCGGCGAGGAGTGCCAGAGGGGGCTTGGGGGAGAGGGGCCGGGGGCATGGGGGGCGGCTCGAAAGTCAAAGCTCGATCGAGCCAGGATCCATGATCGCGGAGATAGGGGTGAGGGGCGAGGCGGGGCGAGGAGGATCAGGGGGCCGGGATGAGGATAGGCGCGAAGATGGTGGGCGGGGCGGGGGCGGCGAGAATAATCGCGCAGACGGAAGCGGGGGTCACGGTGCGTGGAACGGAATTAAAAGAACGGACGCGACGACGAGGGTGAGGACGGGGCGGGGGACGAGGATCAGGACGCGCATCAACGTGAGCATTAGGATGGGGGCAGGGACATGGGCGGGAACCAGGGCGAAGGCGAGGGCGGAGCCAGGGTCTTGATGCAAAGAAAGGCGACGAGAGGGAAGGCGAAGGAAAACCATAATGACGATGGAACGGGCACGAAATTGGAGATCGGAACGGCGCCGACGATCAGGGCGCGGGGGCGCGAAGAGGAGGAGGGACAACCAGCGGGCCGAGAAACGGCCTCGGTGGAGCGACTTGGGAGAAGAAAAGTAAGGGGATGGTGGGGGTCCTCGCGCAACCTCCTTCCGATTCCTCCTCCTCCTGCTGTTCCTGCTGCCCCCGCGCCCCCCCCCCGTCGCCGCTTGCGAATTCTCGCCCTGAGTGAAGGGCGCCCTTCTTCCTGGCCCCGGGCCCCGTCCGCCCCCCCCCGTTTGAGTGCTGATCCGTCTGGCTGCGATTCGCAGAGCTCTTCAGCTCCGCTTTCGCTTTCCCCTCGGGCTGGGGCGGGGCCGCGTGCGCGGCGGCCTTCGACGACGCGGCTGCCTCCCGGGCGAAGCGGGCGGGGCGGGGGGTCAGGCCCGCGGGGGATTTGGCCGGGGTGGAGGTCGGTTCTGACGACGCCCTTGCGCAAGCGCGGACCGACGTAGCATTCCGGGCGCGCAGATGTTGGCAGCAGTTCGTTGCGATGGTGATCAAGAGTACAACGCGTGCAAATTCGAATATCACGAATATTGGCAACGAGCAAACAAGCAACACAATGGACAACCAAGCGCGGCGTTGCACGGATACGTCAGCAGGGAATTAAGCTGGACACTTAAAAACAGGAGCTTCAGTGGGCAACTTGAACTGGAAGTTACGCAGGCACATTAACTGGGAAAGTTGCGCAGGAAATGGAGGGGGACATCGAACAGGAAAGAGCGGGTTTACGCAGAGAGATTCGGCCGCAAGGAAAGGGGCAGGTAAGCAGGCCATTGGGCGCGAAGAATATAGCAACGAGCGATGGAAGCGGGCAAATTCAGCTGCGACTTAACCAGGGAAATTCAGCGGGAAATTCAGCAGGGTACGTAAGCAGGAAATTAAGCGCTGAAATTAAGCAGGCAGTCGAGCAGGATAATTAAGCAGGAACACAAACCATAACATTAAGCAGGCTCTTCGCAGGAAGAGTAAGCGGGGCGCTTTAGCTGGGCATTCGGTTGGAAAATTAAGCAGGCAAGTTGAACGGGAAACTACGGGCGACAATTCGGCCCTCTATCTTTTCTTCGCCATGAAAAAAAAAAACCTCATTTGCAGACGCGCTGTGAGCGCCCGCGTTTTCCGCCGTTGTCGGCCCAGGCGAGCCGCTAGATTGGCGGGGCTCAAGCTGCCGCCTGCTACCTCCGCAACTCAATCCGCTAATTCGACCCGCTGACTGAGTCGCGAATTTCTGGCGCGCGCAGGGCATGCGGAAATTATTGAACCAATTAGCGGGCCCAGTTCGCGGAGTCGAGAATGGGTTTAATTTGCGGGGTCGATTAGCGGAGCATCCATGTTCGCGCCTCTACTTTAAGCTGCTGATTTCACCCGCCACATTCGGAGGAGTTGTTCGGTCGGAGATCTTAGCGGATAATTTATCAGGAAAGGCAAGCAAGAAACTTAAGCAGGAAGCTCAGCAGGAATACTAAGTAGGCCATTGAGCGCTGATCTTAAGCAGGATAATTAAGCGGGAAATATGCAGTGAAATTAAGCAAGCAATTAAGCAGGCAAATTAAACAGGACATGTGGCAGGGGAGTGGGGCAGGGCATTATTGGGAAATGAGAGCAGGAACATCCACATGAGAAGTTGGCAGGGTGTTGCAACTTACTCGCCGACCGAATGGGGCGCATTCGACAGGTGATGGAAGCTGGAATTCGAGTCGCGGCGTCGGGATCGGAGAATACCCTAGACCTTGCTCGTGCATAAGA